CCATATATATTTGGTACCTTTCTGTACCAATATTTATGTGTTTAAATAAATAAATAAATAATAAGTTATCTATGTGAATTGCAATGAGCATTTTTCATGAATAGGAGGATATTAAAATATTTATTTGTTTTTATTGAAGGTGGGAATAAATTCCAAATTGCCGTTAAATATATAGAAATATTTTATTTCAAAATTGATCACAAATCTAGGAGTTCCTAAATCTTCGTCTTACTCTAGGATTTAAAGAAAAATTTATATTCATCTATCAACTCTTATCAGGTTATGAGTCTACCTGTTCTCCTCTACCTATGACCTCTCCTCTTATCTCAAGGGGGCGGTTACTCCATGAAAAATAAGTGTACTTTTATCTCATACTTTTGTCCCATGTCTTTGCTCTTTCGGTGTTGTTGTTGTTATTACCCTCTTAGATAGATTTCATTAATTTCAAATCGATTATTTTCTGCTCTTTGATATATCCTCTGTGATGTTTGAATATTATGTGACTTGATACATGTACGACCGTAATGTTAGTTCCAATGGTTGGGACCATAATTTATGGACGAAATCAAATTTAAGCTAGATACTCTGGAATTTTATGGAAAGTCCATTTTTTCATATTACTAATTAGTATTTTGATATTAAAACTGACTTTAATTCATGGTGAAAATTCTTGCTCTAATTCCTAATCTGAATTCTTCGCACTAATTCATAACCTTATTTTGACTTTAATCAGTGGCTGAAGTTTTTTAAGGGCACTCGAATATCGCCCAAACGTTCATGAAGTTTAGTTTTACCGATCCTATGTTCTTACTGATTTTCTGCTAGATAAGAGAAAACCATTTTGATTATGCTTTTCAAGAGGCCATAAATAACGAGTTAATTGAGATATATTTGTGTATAAATTATACCTAGAGTTGGTCACTTCCTACTCCAACAATATTATGGGCATAATTATAAAAGGACCACAAAATCCCTTAGCTAGTGACACGGATATATGTGTACTGTATGAAAACCCATAAGTTTTGCGAATAGAATCTCTTAAACCATAAAAGTCACTTTTTTTTGGTAAATTTTCATGTAAATATCCTCTTAGTGATGGTGATAACGTTACTCTCAGAAATTACCATCATGTTTATTATTTATGTTGTTTTTATGTGTTGTCTTGCAGATTTTTATTTAGTTCATTTTATCATCTTTCAAAAGAAGTTTACTTGCTTTCTTATTTTGTGATATAAATAAATTATATCAACTTGGATTGATATGTATGCTTTACTACAAATTTCTTTTTTTCTCTCCATTAGTCAATCATTAATTTGTTAATAGAAATTATTCTATAAAATATTATTCAATTTATTTGCCCACTTAAACCTTGAAAATGAAGAACAGCGCTCGCCTACTCACAAGTTCAGGATTGTTGTAACACTAGGATTATAATAATATGTTGCAGTTTTTATTTTAGATTGAAGCCTTTTTCAGTCATAAATATATTCGTAAATTGTAGTTGTCACAGGCTGATCTCAGTTAAGGTATTGTTGAAAACTAAGAAGCATTAACACACTTGTTTTGTCCTTGTGTTAGATACTTCATTAATGTGCACTTACAACCTCATCAAGGATCTTTAGGTCTCTCGGTGAATGCTTAATCATTAGACACTAAGTCAGTACTCAATTGTACAATTGCATATGTGATCAATTCGTTATGTAATGTGATGAGCATCACATACTATTAATGACAACTGTTTCATTTCTCAATAAAACTGTAATCAACAAATAGCAAAATAAACAGTTTCATATTAGGCTTTGTTGATGCTGATGATGATGATCACGATGTCTTCAATATATCATCAACACACCCATTGTCTAAAAAATGTGTTATCATTCTCATGCGAATTTATTAAACGAGTCTCCTTATTTTATGAATTCACCATGATTCAACTGAATAAACTAAGTATGATATGTATCATAGCTGTCGGTTTAAATTACTCTAGATAGTAGTTTATTTTTCTAAATTACCGATCTTAATTTTCTCTCATCACATGATCATCTAATGATGCTTTCTGTAATTAATAATTCAACAATTGATTCAGTGTTTTCTGCTCTGAATGTTTAATAATCTTTTTTTAGAAAACTGGCCCTCGTTCTACTACTACTATTACTGGACGGCCTATTTTCACATTATTATTATTTTTATTATTATTACTGTTATTAGTACTATTGGGCGTGTATACCTTGTAATAAAAAAGGCCTGTTGCTATGGTGCTTTTTAGTGATCCAAACCTAGAGAAAGTCAATATCTATTGTAGTGTAAATATGAACTTGTAATATAGAGGACATATATGTTTATAGACCTATTATTCAATCATTGGAATAGTATTGGACACAGTCAAGTTTTATTGCATGTTATGATCATCGTCTATGTAAAGTTTAGTTAAACATTCATTCATTTATTCACTCACTAACTCACTATAAATAGTAAATAATCATAAATGCTACTGAATAATCATATTCAACGTATTTTACGATGAACCACACCTTATTATTGTGTTGTTGTATGATGACAATCTAAATTGTTAGAAACCATACATTCTTTGTAAGCGGTATTGAATAGTAATTTTGGAACTAATGAATAATGATAATGATTATAATGATAGGAGATATTTGTTAGAAATCTGATTCTGGAAGAAAATAGAAGATTATGGGATAATAACGCTTTTAGATAATTAAGTATCTTAGGACAGAAAGAATGAAGTCATTTACACTATTGTGACCAAATCTGTTATTCATTGTCTCTAACCATTGATTACCACAATCACACTGTCACGAACCAACTAGTCTTTACTCACTTATATGGCTTAACCTAAAAGTTAACGACTTTGTGGACTGATGCCATGTTTTGGTTTGACTATTCCTAGTTACTTCCAACCTATTCGTTACATCAACTATCATAACGCCTCGAGACAAGCAGTGGTTGAGCACGTGTAATATCATACTCCAAGCACTTGAATCGATCGGTTTGTAATCCTTATTTTCTCATCAACCATAATGTTTTGAGAATGCAATACTGTTAATAGATATATGTGTTATCCGAATAATTACTACTGTTATTAGTACTACTACTTGATCATAAAATGACCATACTTCTACCATTTTCACAGTACCAAATTTTATCTCGAAACGGGATTGTTTTTAAAATTTATAACTACTTACTGATTAAAAGTTTGCAAATGATCGGTTAGTCTTTTCTCCTCCTCCTACTTTTTAATTTTTTCTGGGCTCATCCCTATTCGACTTGTCTATTGAATTTCGTATTGTTACTTATTATGAGATTAAAATCCATAGGAAAACGTAGAAACTTATGTAGTTATAGTGTTGGAGATAGTTACAAATCAACTGACTACTTATCGTATAATTCTATTATTTACGTCATGGACTGACCTTACTTAAACATCCAATGAAAACCAGAAAGCATTGGAAAAAAGTTTTGGTCTGGTGTGGGACTCCTCAGCAGTGCACATCCTCTAACCTACCAAGAAGGGAACCTAGAATATTCAGGTCTCGTGGTGAATGCATAGTGGGACGAAAAGCTATATAATGCTTTTTAGTTCTCACGGTCTATTGAAATAAGGTCAGTTTGTAATGTAAGCCTTAAAACTCAATAGTTTCCACAACCATTTTTTGTGATGATTTAAATCTTACCGCTGATATTAAAGACTAGATTTGATCAATCTATATTTGGCACTTGTGTATCCTAAGTGGACCTCCTCGGTATTGTCATTAAATCACGTGTTGTAAGTAAAGTTGAATAGTGACTATCAGTAGAATCCAGAAGGCGCGTCAGATTCTATTTGAAGCTTATCAATTACATGTACCTTTACTCCTGTATTGATTTCACACCGGGACTCGAAACCAGTACCATTAGTATCAAATACCCAACGCGCTATTTACTAAGCTACTGAGTGCAGATAGCTTATAAAGCGGGGATAAGTTTAAGTTTTTGTAACTATTTGAGTCTTCCCATTTTCGATTTTAAGAACCGCAATTAGTCACTCTACCAGGTCCTAGTCTCTGTATGAACATCAGTACTGAAATGCAGGTACATCCAGTTAACAAGTATTAAATCGGATGTGACGCACTCTCTGAATTCTGCTGATAGCTGCAATTCAGCTTTACGTAAGATCTTCACTAACCCCTTCATGTTAATCATATTATTTATTATCAGTTTTGTAACAATTCATCAGATAAAAATTCTACTTAGATTGTTAACAGATTACTTATTTAGAATTGTGACTCTAATAGTCAATATGAATCGGACATGATAAAATAATGCTAGAATATAATAATAAAATGTGTTGTTAATTTTTTCTAACATGTAACCATAAATAATTATGAAATGATGAGAGCCTCATCTTCTAATGAATGGTTATTTAGAAAAAACACACTTAAGTCAGTTGTTCACGATAATTTAAATAATGATAATTCCTCTGTATATAAACCACTTGACAATTCTCACTAATTGATCACCGAGCAATGAATAGTTAAATGTTTGCCTAATTCTGTAGTGCTAATCCAGGTGCAATATAGCCACTGGTTTGAGTGACTCGATATCGCATCACTACTAAAGGCTTAGACAAATATCGCGTTTGTTCACTACTCATTTATCAGTTAATATATTTCAGTCCTTCAGTCCTTCAGTTGTATGCTCTCATTTAGAAAAGGATATATGAGCAATTGTATATAGGCTTAACGTTGAATAAATGTTTTGTTCCATCCCTTAAAACTTTCAGCAATTGGTACAACTTTTTTCACTATCAGTGTTATTGGCATCATGCTTACCAAGCCATGAGGTAAACATTAAAAGGTTACCAATGAAGCTTCTCAAGACTGCTTTTGAAAGGGTATTTAAATAATCTAAATGAGAAATAGAAACTTATTTTGAAAGATTCACTTTGATGTGTTAAATTCTACTGAGGGATTTTTCTCTTTCATTTTTACTTACATTAGGTTAGTGATGATGAAGCTAGACGTCGTGCTAAACGGCGTGAACGTAATCGAGTCGCAGCGGCCAAATGTAGACAAAGAAGACAAGATCAAATTGAAGAGTTACAACATCGTGTTGATGCATTGACTAGAACAGGACAAGAGCTTCGTTCATCTCTACATTCGTTAGATTTAGAACGAGCTAGACTAGAAAGTCTTGTGGAAGAGCATAAAGTGAGTTGATTTATCACTTTTGAATAATTATATTACTCTTTTTAAACTAAAAAATCACAATGTTCAATCAAATTGAGGAAAGAAACAGTTTGTTAAATTACATTTGCATTTGTACACATTTTGTGGTTAAGATTTGCATCCAATGTTTCATTTAGTAATGTATTTGAGTGATTGAGTTGGAATCATTTCATGTTACGCCTTCATACCTCAATCCTGCCCCACATATTTTCCCTCAACTTTACCATACTGATAGATTACATCTTCAGTTGACCAGGAAATATTTTTATTGGCCTGAACTAATTATTATTTTTGTTGTGTTAATACATTAATCATTTTTTATGAGATTACTTGTGACATAACATAACGTTTTTGTCGTTCATGCACTTAATAATAAATACAACGACTTGATATACTATATAGTAGACTGAGTAGACTACATCACGATATTGGATCACTATATTCAATCATGTGATACACAGACACAAGTCCAACCAAGGACTGGAAATGAGATAATAGAGACATGATATTGTAATCAGTGCAACTACAAGCAGTCAACCACAGTTTAATCCGCGTAGTAATCTTGAGTGAATAATTTGTGAAATCAATAGTGGGAAAGAGTTTACAGTATTATTTAGTGTCTTATATGTTCAACATAACTTGATATCTATTTTCACTCACTGAGGAGGAGTCATGGCTCATGAGTAGTAGTTCGTTAGCAGTGTTTGTATGACGATGGAATTACATGGTCGTCTTTAAATTGCCAATTGATATGAATTTTACTAGAAACGTTTGTCTCTAACTATATTCAATATTAAATGAAATACGGCATGATCATGAGATATTTTATATTGCTTCGACTATTTCGGTAAGAATAAATAGGCGGCATTATCAACATTAATATTGTTATTTTTTTAGACAGCCGAAGGTAATTTCGAGCTACGAACGACTGGGAGATTCTTCTAGTCATAAAAAAGGTCAACGCGAACTAGATGAATCAGATAACCATAATACTCAACACTTCAAGGATAATCCTCCATGTGATACAAAAGAGGGAAGTCAGGAACTCAGGAAAAGCTTGATATTAAAAGGAGTCGTAATTGGAATAAAACAACTCTGTATATGTAGCACGACTAATCAAATAATAACAGAAATCAGTACTAAAAATACGAATCAGGAAAAATTACTTGAGGCTTCTGTACGCGTCAAAACTGCCGTTTATCGGTAGAAAGCTAAATTATTTAAGAACTTGCTACATCTGTGTCAAAGCCGACTTGACAAATATAGGCGAAGTTGACAGCTTCCCCATGATCATCTGTTAGTGTGTGGCTCTATGAAGTTTGATTAACTTCATTTTTAGTCACCTTGTTGTTTCCATACTGTCGATGTAAAAAAAAACTGTTACTGGATTGCTTTTTCGTTGATAACATTATATCACAATCATAACTTTTTTTACTTATCATTAAGTAATATAGTGACTAATTAGAAGTCTTTATCAATTAAATTAACAATTTTCTGAATTTAGTTCAGTCAATTAGTTAGTTATTTATCTAATAAAGTTGAAATTTTACAAAATTTAATTATGTCCACTGAACAACTGGGTCAATACAACAAAGATGAAAAGTAATTTCAAAAAATTTAACGACCTGATATTCGTCTCTTCAAGCTAATGTGGTGATGATGATATGTTTTGTATTGTTTTTAACACCAGTGGCTATGGTACTGGTCATATTGTCAGTTATTTGTTTCCTTTATTTTTCTTGGATATGATAGGATGGTTTTAGTCAATGTTAACATGAAATAATCTGAATTGATAAATATTGATCATTTTCTTTTCTTTTTTTCACTAGTTAATGTGAAAGATTTAAGATAAATGCAGTGAAATAAACAAATAGAATAGAACTGTATGCAAAATAGTAAATTAACTCATTTAAAATTTGTCAGAATTATCCCATAGAGAAAAAAATATTTAGACAACAGAGATGGAATAAAACTAACAGACAAAACTAAAACAGATACTCAAACGAATAAACCTCTAAACATAGTTTATTTAACAAGTGAAGTCTTATGTACGCGAGGCTTTTGATCTAGTCGACTTTTCGTGATGATTCCCAACTGTTTAAATGAAAATAGATAGATCTATGTTCATATTGACAACTTTTAGACTGAAAACCTAATGTCTTTTATTCAACTAAATTAAACAAGGTATGAGTATCAACTACCATGAAATTACTTATGAACTAAATATCAAAATTTCTTAATATTTGCAGAGTTGTACCCTACCAACACTTAAATTCCCACTTGTTCTTACTTCGTATCACATCATGACAGCAATAATAACAATAAATAATAATAATAATAATGGTAATAATGACTTTATACAAAATAGTTATCTACAAGAAACTCACAAGAAGATCGTTTAGATACAGTCGGATTTCCACCAAAGACGAACCGCTGTATAAGTATAAGTATCTCTGTATAAGTATCTCTGTGTTCGGGCACAGAGATGATAACTCAATTGGTGTCACCATCTTGAAACACCGACTTCAGTGGCTTGGACATGTTCTACGAATGTCGTCCCAGAGAATTCCACGTCATGCATTATTTACCGACTCTGGGACTGGTTGGAAGAAGCGGAGAGGTGGTCAGTGCATGACATGGTGTCGTGACATGAAAGAAAGATGCAAAAGCCTGGCTTCTGTTGGTCCTTCACGACTCCCTGGCTGGGGTCCGAGAGATGGTGCTACACAGTGGCTAGAGACGTTATCAGATATGGCTCAGAATAGAAGCCAGTGGTGATCCTGCTGTAACCTTCTTTTACTTTCTTCATAAAAAGTGGTTGTGTCTCCTTTACCTGAAAGATTTCTTCTGATTGTACCTTTTCGTTCCGTCGTTACTAGCACATTACCTTATTCCAATCTCTTCGTCATTGTTCTCTTTTTCTTTTGCGTTCCTTAGTTGTTTTTTTCTCTTTCTACTTCTCTTCGAATTCTCATTGTTTTGTGTGGCGCATATATATTGGCACTGTTTCGTACCAATATTTATGTGTTCAAATAAATAAATAAATACACAAGAAGATCTAATAAAATTATTGTTTGTTAGTCTACTCATTGTGGAATTGGACATGAACATTTGTATCCAATATCTCCCCCCATCTAGAACGTTAATGCTTTAACATCCACAATAACAAATCTCAAAATCAATGTCAGCTATTCACATCAACAGGAACAAATCTTATTTTCTGGGCCGTTTTATTTTATATAATCTGTGACTATTTAATTACCTCTTTTCTTATTGAGCTAATAAAATTGATTTTTGTGGTATATGTATGGTGGTATGAAAAGTTTTTGCTCAGTCAACCCAACCGTGTCACGATGTGGATTCTTGAAGAGATAACACATACTAGATGACTGCAACATATCTCGAATGAGTTAATTAGTCATCAGTAGTCAAGTGGGTAGGTAGTTAGGTGGTGGTGACTACCAACCAGCCACCTGACTTCAGTGTACTACTATCAAAACTAAAAATACTTGGTAAACAAGCAAGTCGAAACTAGTTTGTCAAAGTATTTATTGTTATTGTTGTTACTAGTATTATTACTATTATTACCATTATCATTACTATTATGTACAAGTGGAAGTACACAAAAGGTCAAACAAGCAATAACCATCTTCAATATATTTTCACCACATTGGTCTTCATAAAAATTGAACAAATATTCATGTTCCTTGCTCTTGTAGACAGTAAAAATTAGTCACAAAACTATATTTCATACATTTGTCTGAGTGCTTGTCACTAACTACAACAGAGGAAACAACGATACACATGACGTGTACACTGCACTTCACATCTTTATCACTGAAACTACCATTCACACTGTTCACATAGCATTACGTGCAGATACTCGAAAGCATTTGGTCACAAACAAATATCGACACAGTATTCGTCGACCAAATGTAATGAAGCTGTCGATTGAGAAGTGAGATACCGTGATTGAGTTTGCTCGGTGGTAATCAACATCCATCATTGACTGAGTCACTTCGAATGTGTGTGTTACATAAGTACTGTTTAGTCCTGTCACTCCGTTTCTCGAAGTGACAATCAGTTGTCAAACTGTTAACGACAAGAAAAGGCAAACTGACAACCAGTCACTTCATATTATCACATTTTACTGTTGATCTCTGTTGTATGTAGGAAGGTGAACGCTTCTGATGAGATTATCTTTTAACCAGTTATTCGACAGTTTAGACTATGTTGTCATCACAGTAGAGTGCAAATGTACCTAATATTTAACGTTCTTTAAATCCTGAAAATGTCACTCTTTTATACAGTGACCAAACACCCTTTGTTTACACTCTTCAAATATTCCATCTTACAATTTATTCCAGTTCTCCCTCCACTATAGTCAACCTTATTATTACTTTCTTTATATCGAATTTTCTCTCACAGTGTTGATATGTTGAGTAAAAATCGTTTTTGTGTCCATTCACTGGACATTACCTTATCTACCTGCAGTGGTTTGTGCACAATTCTCAGTTTAGTTTAGTTCAATTCAGTTGAGTATTGTGTTTCATCTTGTGTTTCGAGATCAATCATCCCATTGTTAGTTCATGTCATGTTACGTACATATGCATATATATATTTGTGTGTTTGCATGAGGATAATGATAGAGTTTAGGATTGTAAGAACATTCAGATTGTTGAATGAATATATTCTGTTGAGAAAACTTTCTGTCTAGTATACATTGTAGTTCACATGAACTCGGTAACTCAACATTTGAAGTCACCAAACTGATGTATATGTCAGCATGTTATAGATGAGTGTTTGAATTTTATCGTCAGTTTGAAATAGAACTCGTCATTAGACCTCTTCTATTTAATAATTAAGATTGATAGAATAGTTAGGCATGTAACAAACACGAGATCATATCTGGTACCTCTAACAACATGTCGTTTCGAACTAATTGTACTTGAGAAGATAGTTATTAATATTAATATTATTAT